CATCAATTTTTCAATACTAATGAAGGCTGTTTTATGAGCTTCACCTTTACCAGTATGATTCAGAGAGCAAGGTCCAATTCAAAACAGTGGTTGTTAATGGGATTTGCTGGGCTAGTTAAAATCAAGGCAAAGAGGTCAGCTCAGAAGGTTATGGTGACTTTTCTGGTACTCCAAAGAAGTCATTTTGACAGATTTTTTGAAAGGACACAAGACAATTCTGGGGGCTTATTAGGAGAAAAAGTTGTAAGATTTAAAATTGCAATGGTGAACTGTGAGTCCAACAGATTAGGGAGAAAAATCAGAAATTTGGTTTTGGACATGAAAATTCAAGATGCAAAGTGCAAGCACTTCCTTCATAAAACGTTTGAGGATGGGGCAGGCAACATACAACAAGAGCGAGGTTGGCAGAGGAAAGATGAAGTTAACAGGAGACACAGGGAGGAATGAACTGTTAAAAGAAAATAGGGTAAATACTACTGGCATTGTGGGATAATGAACCAGACTGCAAGGTTGCTTTGAACTGGAAGGTCAGTGGTTCAAAAATTCACCAGCTGCTCTTTGGAAACTCTATACAGGGTCACTATGAGTCAGGAACAACTCAAAGACACTTAACAACAATGTTGTTAATTGATGGTCCATGGAGAGGATTATAATCATTGTAATGAAGTAAAGTATATGATTTGCTGAATGTAAAACTGATGATCTACTCTGCAAACTTTCACTCAATTCACAATAAAAAGTTAGGTTAAAAAAAAAAAAAATGCATTGGTGGAAAAACAGGAAGGAAAGTTGCACTGAGGAATTTTGTTTCCCTTCAGGAAAATGCTCCTGCTCGTTCTCCAAGGATAGCAAGGGCTGTTCTATGAGAATTTCACTGGGAACCTCACCCTACCTATCCTACTGCCTTGATTTTTGTCCCTTCAGAAACTCAAAGAACATTTAAAAGGAACATGACAGGAGTCTCTTGAGGATGCTGATAGTGCCATTTTTACAGAGTGTAAATCGAAGAGCCTGGAATTCTTTGGGAATAGTTAGAGGTGGAAAGACCACCTTCAGAAGTGTGTAGACTTAGATGCAAGGTATGCTGAGAAACAATAGCTTCACATTTTGATATTTGTTAGCAAAAGTGTCTATGATTTTGTAGCAGTACTTTTTGACGTACCCGCTCATGTTGTTAAGTGCCACTGAGTAGCAACCTTGTATAGGGTTTGCAAGAGGTGACTGGTGAATTTGAACTGCCGACCTTGTGGTTCAAACCAACCCTGAAGTCCAGTGCTTATCCTACAGCACCAAACATATTAGCTTGAATTTATCTGTCTCTCTTTATATCCACCCCTTCCCGACGCACACATTTTTTTTTCTGGTCTTTGAAAATAAACAACAGACATTATGAACCTTCATCCCAAATCTCAAGCAAGAATCTTCTAAAAACAAGGTCATTCACTAACATATCCGTGACACCACTATCAGAGCCCCTATCAGCTGCTGCTCAGAAACCCTACACAGGATCACTATGAGTTGAAATTAACACGAAAGCACTAAGCAACAGCAACAAAATATACCATCATTACTGAAAGTTTCTCAAGTGTCTGAAAACATCCTTGAAATTGGTGTTTATTTTTTCTCAATCCAGAACCCAATTAAGTATCATGAACTGTATTTGGATGTCACTAGGAAAAATTTGTTTTCATTAGGAAAAATTTGCAACAACCATAGAAGACCAAAAGTGCAGCATTTGCCCCAAACTAAAGCTCAGAAGGGCAGTGAAGGAGAGGACAGAAGTATGGATGGATGGGAAGTGGGAAGAGTGCTGTTACACTAAGGGGATTACAACCTAGATGATGAAACAAAACATGTATAAACTGCTAAATGGAAAACTGATTTGCTCTGTAAACTTTCACCCAAACTATAGTAAAAAGTTAAGAGAAAAAGTAATTTCAAAACTTTGTAGGAGGCTGCTCTAAAAAACAAAGTATATTTAAGGAAAATTGTGTAAGTGAATGCAATGCAGTGAATTCTTTAAAGTGTTGCTTCTAGCTCTGTAACTGCCACCAAATGACTTTTTCCTGATGCGTCCAGGTAAGAGAAAGTGGGGAAAATGCTGAACGGATTATATGATTCAGTTATGAATGACTGTTCAAAGGACTAATTACGGTTGTAAAAACTTGGCTATCTAATGTGGTGTTTGGTCAATTCTGACATTTTGCTGGGTTTTAAATGCGGCATCTCAGTAGCAGGAAGGGGGAATCACACTACCCACAAGAGCGAAAAGTCAGAAGCAGGGTGTGCCCTTTGGACTTTGAGATTCCTGCACATTGAATTCCCTTAATTGAGGGACAGAATGCTGTGGCACCAGAAGAGTGACAGAGAAGGAGCAGCGGCAGGACCAAAAGCCAGGGCATGAGCCAGAGTGATGGGCTTCCTGGTCCTCAGAGCAAGTAAAACTGGGCCTGTGGGTAGGAGACTTCCTTCTGGAATGGGGTGCCTCCAGCATTTAATCTGAGGAGCTAGGTTTGTTATTCATGAAGCTAGAGCTGAGAGCCTTCAGCTGAGGCTTACAGCAGAACAGAGTGATCTTTGGGCATTCATTGGCGTCCAAATGAGATTTGTAACACAGCCCGAGCAGGCCAGAAGCCAGGCCAAGGGAACGAGGGCCAGAGAGAGGCGTGCCTGCAGGTACAGCTGAGAAGATGCTCTGTTACACTAAGAACTGTAGGCTTCACATTTTAGATCCTGAAATGTAACCTGTTAACTTTCCTAATAAACCCTATAATAATGAGTATGGTTTGTGAGTTCTGTGTGTCCACACAATGAATTATCAATCCTAGCAGAGACATCAAGCACTGAGGGAGGCCCAGTTGGTGACCAAATCGATAATGAAGGTTGGAGATTCCTCATAGGCATCAGCCTTGGGCTGATGCTGATGCTGTCTGATTCTCCTTCCCCTAGATAATTAAGGAGGTCAAGCATCATCCCCATATCATTTTCATAATGAGATATAGATATTCAAGGAGCCTTGGCAGGGTAATGAATTATAAACTGGCTGCTCTGTGGGAGAAAGATGATGCTTTCTGCTCCCATAAAGATTTATAGCCTTTGAAACCCTGCACAAGGTCACAACAAACCAGAACTGACTTGGTCTCACACATTCACCATAGATATTAAGTATATAATTGGATGAGATGTGATAAATGTAAACAGTTATTAAACATCCATATCCATCAAGTTATAAGACTTCCTTAACCCTAGAAAGTTTCTTTGGTCCTCCTCTCCAGTTACCATCTCCTTCTTTAGAGCAACTACTGTTATGGTGTACTACACCAAAAAACAAAACGATGACAGGTTTCATACAGAGCTAAATGCTTTAAGAAAACAAAAATTGCTGTGTACAATTCCATTTTTGAATTAAGAAAATAGCATAAATTTAAGGTTGGATCATTCTTAGGTTAACGATTACCACATGTAGCAGATGTTTATTCTTAAACAGATGCCAACTTAATATATAGGGAACAATTCAAATTTAACACTTATAATTAAACTTGAACCTCATACCAGATTTTCTCAAGTGAGCAGTTACAAAATAAATAAACTTTGTCTATTTAGATGTATAAATGGAGCAGTAATTGATACTCTGTAAGGATTAAAAAAAAGTTAATGCAATTTTAGACTACTAAAAGCATAGTAGCTAACACACTTGAGCTCTATTCCTACAATTTCATTGACTGTGGCATCTCTGGGTCCCAGTTCCATTATGCTCAACATAAAAAGGTTACATTAGATACTGCAAGGTAGTGCGACCCAATCTTTTTTATGTCATGGTTCATGTAGAAACTGGTAATAGAAGAACAGCCACTTAGAGTGAACAGAGAAAGCAACTCAAGGTTAGAAACTGGTCTAGATGATCTTACCACCCAGAGTACTGAGGAGACCAATATCTCTGTGTACTTGGAAGCCATCTGAGACATACTTTCATGTCTTTTCCCACAGTTTAGGGAGCTGTGACATTGCTACTTAAATTGTGGCCTGTGGACTAGTAGCACTGGCATACCTGGGAACTACTTAAGAGATGAAGAATTTTGGGTCCCATCCCACACCTTTTACCTCCGTATTTTAGTAAGATCCCTAGATGATTCATAAGCACATTAAAGTTTAAGAAGTACTGCTCTAGGAAACTTGTAGCTCTCAAAACTATTAACTGAAACCTTAATCTGTTTAAAAGAAGTACTCTAGATAAAACTATTGGTCTTTCCATGTGTGGAAGAAAAAAGGGAGATGAAAATTTGAAGATGCTTGGAATCAACTATTCCAATGGGCCAATGGAACATGTGAACATCAGTCACCACAACTCTTGAGACCAGAAGAACTAGATGGTGCCCGACTATCACTACTAACTGCTCTTAAAGAGATCACATTAGATAGTCCCAGAGAGAGTGGGAGAAAATGTGGAACAAAACTTGAAATTGAATATATGTATATATAAAAGACCAAGCTTACTGGTTAGAAAGAGACTAGAGGAACCTGAGACTATGGCACTCAACCACCCTTCAGGTCTCACCCTTGTAGTCCAATTTTCAGTAGAGCAGTAGATAGGCATACATGGAGAACAACAACACTAGTAAGGTATGCTCATCATTGAATGGTCAATCATTCAAGATCAAAAGGGCAACATTTACCCAAGGACAATGCTGAGAAGGGATGAAAAGGAGAGTCAAATGGAAATAGGATCCACAGGGAGGAAGCAGGGTAACTGCTGTTCCATGGAAGGGACTGCAAACATTGAGGTGAAACACAGCATACGATTTACTGGATGTAAAAACTGATCATCTTCTCTGTAAACCTGTGCTCAATTCACAATAACAAGTTTTTTTTCTTTAAAGTAGTACTCTAATAAGGATTTCATAACCTTATTAAATTCAATATGACAGAGTAAAATTACATGAATTGCCCTCTAACTTTTAAAAACATTTAGTTTTTCATTAAAATAAGGGAAATGTATTTACCTGCTTGTATACCTGCCGTAAATACATGATCTCCTCCACAGTTCCCAAGGATATCAACCTAAATACTTTGACATCCCTGCATTGCCCAATCCTATAGGCTCTGCAAAAACATTAAAAACAAAATAAAAATCAAATGAAAAAACGTTGGGTTCAAAAAGTAGCTTTTAGCCTTAAAAATGAAAACACTATTAAATTTTAATAGATCTTCAAAGAAACATTTTATATTTAGATATGCTGTATTATTTAGTAATATAAAAATAGAAATTTATGTAGAAAGATTAATTACTGAAGAGAAGAGCACTGTAGAAAAAATAAACATATGAACTTCATTTCTGTTACAAGTATCCCAAATTTTCCTATATTCATGATTTTCTTTTTTATGGCAGTTTTAAGCTTCTGAAAGGGTTGTATTCCCAAATGCTCCATTTATGTAAAATTCTCAAAAATCTTAATTAATTGATAGTGACAGAAAGCAGATTAGGAATTGCTTGGTGATTGTGGTGGGATGCAGATTAAATAATGGTGGATTACAAAGTGGCACAAGAAAAATTTGGGGGATGCAATACATGAATATATTCTCTATCTTGATTGTGGCTGTGGTTTCACAGGTGTGCACATATCAAAATGTGTTGAACTGCAGATAGTAAACAAGTGCATTTATGTTTGTAAATTACATCTCAATAAAATTGTTACAAAGTTTTAAAACAAAACAAAACACAGATGAACAGATTTCTAGTGTTTTCTGCATTCAGTAAAGATTCATGTGGCATCAGAAATTATACCCTTTGTTCCATATCCTTTTCAGAATCCGGATCGAATCTCTGGCAGTTCTCTGTTGATGTTCTACTGCACATGTTTTTCAATTATCATCAGCATAATTTTATTTGCATATGATATTAATGACCTTGCTAATTTCTATATTCCATTGGATCCCCTTTCTTTAGAATGGGTACGAATATGGATCTTTCTGTTGTTGTTCAGTGCCATCAAGTCAGTTCCAACTTACAGTGACCCTGTAAAGTATTTCCAAGGAGCAGCTGGTGAGTTTGAACATCTGACCTTTTGGTTAGCAGTACAGTCCTTATCCTATAGTATCATATGTACCTTTCGTGTTTGCTAGAAGTTTATTTTTGACCTTGCAATAATGTAATAATTGGTGTTCACAAAGTCTCTCACTGCATCCTTCACTCATTCCTCCTCACAGAGAAGGGCATCATGGGGGCCTGCAAATCTTTACTCACACCCCAGAGGGGAACCAGGCTGCTGCGACACAGTACAGTCAGGGCTAAATGACCTGCATCCTCACTTCTATGCGGCAGCCTGGATTCCAAAGGGCTCACAGTCCCGTTCTCTCTCATATTTGGGCTTTAAAAACTTTTTTTATATGGAGCTAAGTCAATGCTATTTGGGTGTGTGTTCAGCAGTTTGGTGAATGAGAGAGACACTATTAGAGTGCCTAGCTTTTAATCTTTAAAGACAAAATGTTTATAAACATCTTTAGATCTATGCTTCATTAATTTCTTGGCACATAAAGTAGAAGTGAAGAGTCCTAGTGTGGTGCTACAGGACAAAGCACTGGACTGCAAAGACTGTTTGAACCACAAGGTCCTCTCAAACCCTATACAAGGTGGCTGTGCGTTGGAAACAACTTGAAGGCACTTAACAATAAACAACAAAGCAGAAATGTGTGAGACAGGACTTTTACCATGTGCTCAAGAGCTTAAAAAATATGTAAGTTAATTCATAGATTGGCTCTTGATAGCCTAGGTGGAAAAGTACAAAATTACACCAAAATGTATTAAGAAAAAAAAAAAAAAAATGGACGAGAGTGATGTCTGGTTTTTATCTGACCATTTTCCTTGACTGCTGTCAGTGAAGAAAGGTGTGGATTTGGATCCTGGTCCTGCCACTGGCTGGCTGTGAACTTAGCAAGCGATTACTCAAGCTGTGTGCTTCTGTTTACTAACCTGTAACATTGGTATGACAACAGTGTGGAACACAGGAGCGGATTGTTGAGTGTTGAATGAGAGCCTCATGTAGAATAAGCACTGAGAACATAGGTATGACAACACAGGAGAACACTCTTGAATGCTATATGAGATACTCATGTAGCATTACCACTGAGAACAGTTCCTGACTTACAGAAAACACTCAATACACGTGAGCTGTTATTTTACTTTGTCATTATTCTTGCTGCCACTTAAAGAACTGGGTCCAATTTGCTTTGGATAAGGTTGTATCCAGCAGAGAACTGTATACTACTACTAAGGTGCTCCTGTTAACACAGTGTATTATAAGTGAAATTATAGCCTGCAAACAGTAATGGCTAATCTATTTTTTTATAAGGGTTAAAAAGAAAATTAATTCATTTGAATGTGATTTCCTTTGAATGTCCATAGTACCTAGTATGACATCTTGTGATAATTAAACATCAAATGACCTGGAGAAGGACATCATGCTTAGTAAAGTGGAGGGTCAACAAAAAAGAGGACAATCCTCAATGAAATGGATTAGCACAGTGGTAGCAGCAACAGGCTCAGGTGTAGCAATGACTGTGAGGTTGGCACAGGACTGGGCAGTTTCGTTCTGCTATGAGTCGGTTCCGACTTGATGGCACCTAACAACAACTATATATATATATATGTAAAATTAATCTGGATAACTATGTTCTTCAAATAATTTTAAAATGTACTTGTTTTGCCTAATTGATCAACTGATTTTTGATAGAAGTATATTAATTTTCTGACTATGATTTTATATTTGTCCATTTCTCCTCATATTCTAAGAGTTCTGGTTTTGCTGTTTTGTATTCCGGATTATATTTCTCTTGACTTTGTTTAAGGAGCCCTAGTGGTACAGTGATTAAATGCTCAGCTGCTATCCAAAAAGTCAGTGGTTCAAACCCTCCAGCAGTTTGCCATTCCATAGGTGAACAATGTGGTAGTCTGCTTCTGTAACAATTTATAGCATCAGAAACCCAATTGGACAGTTCTAAACTACCAGCTGCTGTTCAGGAGAAAGATGAGGCTTTCTGCTCCCGTAAGATTTAAAATCTTGGAAACCCTATATAGCGTCACTATGAGTTGGAACTGACTCCACAGCACACTGCCACCACCATCACCACTCTACTTAAGTTTATGGGATTACTATGAGTCAGAATTGACTTGATAGTAATTAGATTTGTTTTGGGCTACCTATACTTAATTAATGGGTTGTGTTTTTTTTTTGCCTTGAATTCTACCGGTATCTTGCCATTTGGATTCAGAAGTTCAGAGTTTTCTTAAATAGAAGTTTTTCACAAGATTTCCACTATCTTCTAATTTTAGCCATAATACTGTTGTCATGTGCCATTGAGTCAGTTCCAACTCACAGTCTAGATAGGGTTTCTGAGCCTGTCTAGATAGGGTTTCTGAGGTGCAGCTGGTGGGTGTGAACCACCAACCTTGCAGTTAGCAGTACAGGGATGATCCTACAGCACCACACCAGGACTCCCTAAGCAAGCCTAAAAAACTCAGGAGTACTTTGAGATGAAAAGTATTTGTAGGTCAATTTAAATTTTGTGAGTTTTATACCTGTCAATGGCTTGAAGATCATTGGCTGGATTCCAAGTAGGGTCAAATAATACAACAACATTGGCACCAACAAAATTGAGGCCTAGTCCACCAGCCCTGGAAGAAACAGAAAGGAGTATATTAAAACTACAAAACATAATTAATTGCTGTGCTATAATTCAGTTGTGCCAGGTTTTGATAACTAAAACAATGCTGCATTAACACGATAAAAGGTGAGTAAAACAAAAGTAGATCACAAATGGAACATCCATGGAATGTTTAACACTTGGGAAAATCCCTTAAAAATCTGATTATTTGGAACCATAAGGTCAGGAGTTCAAACCCACCAGCTGCTCCTTGGGAACCCTATACAGGTCACTGTTGAGTTGTAAACAACTCCACGGCACTTAACAACAACAAGGAAGAGTCTATGTACACAGGTAGTACTGGTTTTTAAAGATTTCTAGATGTCAAGATACTATTTCCGTAAGAGTTTTCTAACATAATTAATAAAACAAAACAAAAAATGGTTAGTAAATTCAAGCTAAATAAAGTCACATGCATATTCAATTCAGGATTTGACGTTCTTCCCTCTATTCCTCCTGTTATTGTTAAGTGCCTTCAAGTCATTCCCGACTCATAGTGACTGTGTACAGGGTTTCCAAGGAGTGGCTGGTGAATTGGAACTACTGATGAATGATGAATAAAAGTGAAGCAAAAGTAAGAATATCATGAGCAGTGAAGAGAAGGCAGACCATCTCGAGACCACAGGAGCAGAAGAATGTTATCACAGTGAGTTCTCTGGCTTTCTTTTTGTCTACTAGATCCCAGACTAGGTTCTGAAGAAAGCAGAAATCTGGAGAAACCAACAAACATAGACCAAAAAAGGCCCCCCCAAAAGCCACCTCCTTTAAACCAAAGAAACAGCAAAGGCTCACTCCAGCAAGACAGAAAATTGTTAGACAGTCATTACCCTACTCTTTCCAAACGCCACAGAAGAATTGATGGCATCACTTGGACTTCCACCTCCACCTGACTGTCATGGTGTTGTTACTGTTATTAAGTGCCATCAAGTCGCCTTCGACCCATAGCAACCTTGTATAGGGTTTCCAAGTAGTGTTCATGGTGTTAGAGGTGACTAAAGAAAAACATTTTAAATAAGATATAGAATCTCTGAACATTTAGAATATCTAGGATATAATACAAAAAGATCAGTTGTCATACCAAAAATCAAGAAAATCTCAACTTGAGTAAGAAGACAATCAACCACATGGTAACCCTGAGATGGAATTTAATATAGCCATCCTAAAAATGGCTCCTAAGAAATGACAAAATACTTAAAAAAACAAATTTTGAAAATGAGAAGTCTCAGCAAGAAACAGAAAGACCCAAATGAAAACTGAACAACTTAAATATATAATCAATCAATATATAAACTGTAATATGGGCTCAAGAGTAGAGAGCAGATGACAGAGAATAGAATCATTTATTTGAGCACAAATTAGTATTACTACTCATTCTGAACACCAGAGAGAAAACAGACTAACAAGGAAAAACAATCATTAGAGGGACAATAACAAAAGGGCTAGTATTTGAATCATCAGTGTTCTATAAGAAAAAGAGAGCGAGACATAAAATGTATTCAAAGAAATGTGGCTGAAAAATCCCCCAATTTAGAAAAATACATAAACCAAGCCGGGGTTAGCCTAAATAGGATAAGCCCAAAGAAATCCACACCAAGATACATCATGATTAAATTTCTGAAAACCAAAGACAAAGAAACATCTTAAAAGCAACAAGAAAGAAATGACACACAACCAATTTGAATGACAGAAAACACAGAGGCCAGAAGCAAGCAGAACAATATTGCCAGGTGCTAAAAGAAAGGAGCCCTTTAATGGTGCTGTAGGATAAGCACTATACTGCAAGGTCCGTTTGAACTGCAAGGTCAACAATTCAAACTCACCAGGCATGCTTTGGAAACCCTATAAAGGGTTTGAGTCATAACCGACTCAATGGCACTTAACAACAACATTAACTGCAAGATCAACAGTTCAAACGCACCAGCCGCTCCTTGGGAATTCTACACAGGGTTGCTATGAGTTGGAACCGTCTCGTTGGCACTTAACAACAACAACAACAACAAGAAGTTATCTATCCAGAATTCTATATCCAGTGAAAATCCTTCAGAAATAAAGGGGAAATCTCAAATGAAGGAAAACTATGACAACTCATCACCAGCATACTCCAAAGAGAACAGCTATAGAATATTCTTAAAATGAAAAGAAAAAATAAATAAAAGATAAAAGAAGGACTCTTGGGAACATCAGGAAGGAAAAAAGAACAACAAAAAAGTGAAAAATGTGGGTCAATACATACTTTCTCCTATTGGGATTTATAAATTAAGTGTGATGGTGGCTCATGGAGTAAGTAAAGCTGAGTGACTTTGGACAGGAGGCTCATTTGCAGAGTAGGGTGCCTCTAGGCACTTAATTGGGTGCTAGGTTTGCTGACCCATGGAGCTAGAGCTGAGTACCTTTGGGCTGAGGCTTATAGCAGAGTAGTGTGTTCTTTGGCATTTATCAGCAGCCCTGAAAGAGCTCTGTTACATAGCCCCAGCAGGTCAGAGGCCAGACCAAGGGGCTGAGAGCCAGAGACAGAGGCCTGCCTGTGGGCAAGTCAGAGGAAAGGCTATCCTGACTAGAAGTACTGCACCCTGAACATTTCTGACCCTGAACTGTAACCTGTTACATTCCATAGTAAGCCCCATAGTTGTTAGCATGGTATCTGAGTTCTATGATCATTACAATGACTAATCTAACCTCACTGAATAGACAGTACTGTGGGGGTGATGATTGGTGTCATTTTGTGTAGGTGCCTATACTTTACTTGAAAAATGTCAATACCAGTAACTTGTGGTAAATTATATATGTATGAAGTAAAACCTACAACCACCACAAAAAAATCTATACAACGAGACATACTAAAGAACGCTATGTATTAATCAAAACAAAATTCTAAAAATGATTCAAGTAACCCACAGACAGGTCTTTCTCCCACAGTTACTGGGTGGGTTAGAACTGCAAACCTTTCAATCAGCGGTCACCAAGGCTCCTTTGTATTAGACTGTTACTATTGTTGTTAAGTGCCTTTGAGTTGGTTCTGACTCATAGTGACCCTGTATAGGATTTCCAAGGAGTGGCTGGTGAGTTTGAACCACCAACCTTGTAGTTCAAACAAAACTTGAGGTCGAGTGTTTATCCTAGGGTGACACACCAGGACTAGGAAACATCAAAATGCTGATTTATTTGTCAAGTATAACCTCAGCTAATGTTTACAGAGATTACAAGAAATTCTACTATTACTAACTTTATAAATTTTAGAGTAATTCATAATCATTCTTACTCACTAATCATAAGGACCACCAATGCTATCTAATTAAATAACCACTCAAATATATGTATGTTTTAACCTCACCACCAAAATAACAATCTAAATATATCACAGTGGATGCTTTACAAGGGTTTCATTTAAAATGAGGCTCCTTACTGATGTTATTTTTTAACTGACCATACATCATTTCAGAAGAAAATTAATCTTGGCAGGTCAAGTCTAAAAGAAACATGTAAGATAGTTTACATAATTTTAATACACTAATAAAAATCTTGGATTTTTGATACTAAAATTGATCCTGAAAAGTTAAAGTAAAAGAAAAGTAACAAATAAGCAGATGATATACCAAACGGACATGAGTTCCTAATAGAATCAGCAATAAAAGGCTAATGAATACTGTAACAGTTTATAGTGAAAAAAATTTCTCCTGAAATTTTAGGAATGTGGGTAAAGCATTAAGATGACCAAAATATTAATAAGATTGATTCAAGGGAGAGGAGGCATGACATTTCAAAATAGCAACTTTTTATTTTTACTGGCAATGTAGTAAAGAAAGCGAAAAAGCTAACAAAGAAGTAGTATTCCCAGGAATGGAAATCCAAAGAAAAACCCACCTAACCAAACCCACTGCTGTGGGGTTGATTAAGACTCATGGCACCCATGTAGGGGAGAGGAGAAATGCCTTATAGCCAAAGCTATAAATCTTTACAAATGCCTCATCTTTCTCTTGAAGAGCAGTCGGCGGGTTTAAACTGCCAAGTTTTGTTTCACAGTCCAACACTTAACCCACTGTGCCACCAAGCCTCCTAGAAAATGTAAACAAGTTAATAATAATAATGACTCCATTGCTAATCAGTTGATTGCAACTCATAGCGACCCTCAGGGCAGAAGAGCATTGCTCTATAGGATTTCCAAGGTTATAAATCTTTATGGGAGCAGAAATACCCATTTTCCTCTTAGAGAGCAGCTGGTGACTTTGAAATGCTGACATGTGGTTTGCAGTTCAATGCTTAACCCTAGGAGCCACCAGGGCTCAGTATAATAATAAGGTTGCTGTTGTTGGTAAGTGCCTTCAAGTCAGTTCCAACTTACAGCAACCCTGTATAGGGTAAGGAGTGGCCGGTGAGTTTGAATCACTGACCTTGTGGTCTCGTACTTATCTTACAGTACCACACCAGGACTGGATAACAATAGTGAATATTATTATCATAATGGCACTCCTAGTATTGTGTTGGGGAGTGCTGTGGTGTTGTCAGATAAGCATTGGGCTGCTAACCACAAGGTCTACGGTTCAAGCCTACCAGCAACTCCCTCGGAGAAAGCTGAGAATTTCTGCTCCTGTGGTCCAGGACCGGGCCAATGTTTCATTCTGTTGTGCATAAGGTCGCTATGAGTTGGTACCGACTCGATGGCACCTAACAGCAACAAAAAGGTTCACAGTCTTGGAAACCCTACAAAGGGTTGCTATAAGTGGGAAACAACTCAATGACATCAGGAACTGGGAATCATCATTAGACCTTAACAGTAAGGTCCCCTGGTTGACTGTTCTACAGGTGTTTACAACAGGAGAAGCACTGGACAGCTACTTGTCTAGCTACTTCACTGGTAATTTTTTTTTTTCTTTTTTTAACTTTTTATGTGAAGTGAGTGAAGCTTTACAGACAAGATCATTAGTTTTACATTCAACAAATCATACAGCTTGCTTCATCTCAATAATTACATTC